GTTTTAAAAAAAAATGCTTCAATGCTAAATGTTTTGTAATGTTCATTTTTTTTATTAAATTTTGTTTTTTTTTTTTTTTTAAATATTAAGATGAATACTTGTGACTTAGAATTTTATTGTAAGTATATTTGGCTAATAGTTGCATTACAACCACAGAGGGCAACTATGAAAAGAGTATATAACTAGCTACTTATACAACTTTAGTTATTAGCTAATTTAAGTAGTCTGCCCAAAGGTTCTTTGCTGCTGTTATACCTGGAATCTGCTTGTAGGTTCCCTATTTAACCACTATAGTTTTTATATTTACCCATCTACTTCTTCCTACTAATGACTCCAACTAATGCCAGTAAAAATATGCTATAATCACTAAGTCTTTAAAGCAGTTCACTCATATGAAGAACCTTTGACCATGTACTAAACCTTTTAGAATCTTTCATATCTTATTCTTATAGCTAATCTGATATCACTATGGTTAAGACCAACATTGGCAGTTAGGGCATACCATTAAACCACTATGTCCTTGTAGAGTTTACCCCAACTCTGGTACTAACTTCACAACATATCCTTACTACTTTGGTATTTAATTTATATTCCACTAAGCTGCTATTTCAGATAGCCTAGAAAGATAGAATAAAACCATACCTCTAGTTTACATATTTGCAAATATGTACTTTTTTTTTTTGAAACTTGGAAATTCTGGTGGCCTGGTTGGTTCATTTGGTTCCTTCTTAAAGACTGACACATTTGTCTAGTTTTACAAATTCTAGCTCTGTTTTATAAGTCTAGTCTTTACAGTAGCACTATTAAAGATTTAGGCTAGCTCTTTACTTAGATCTTCCAAGTGGGCTTTCATCTTCTTACCTGGTTTCTGTGATTTACATGTCCTAAAGACTTATCTTGAGTTTACACCACCTGGTACTGGTTTGTATTCCCTTGTACAATGTTGACAAATGTCTATACTTTTCAGTTATGCTGGTATAAAACAGGTTATAGGTATTTTATCTCAACCAATCATGGATGACAGTTAGCTGTAACACAGAAAGAATTGCAAATTTTGGCATCACTAGAATTTGAACTCTAGACTTGCCACTTGGAAGTTGACAATCTATCCACTTCACTAAATCACTACATCTAGCTTCATCAAATTTTTTATTAAGCAGATAAAATAATAATTACTAATTATCAAAAACTTAATCAAAAGAATTTGATAATCATTTTACACTAAACTATATTTTATAGATTTTAATGTTTTTTTATAAAACTTTAAAATTTTAGATCAGATTCATTAAAACTAAGTAACATTAGCTAACAAACTATATAGTAGTCAGTTATAACAAAAGTTTGTCTAACTGGCTAATAAATTTAATTTAATTTTCTACTATTTATATAGTCAGAGTAATTTTTTTAAAAAATAAATTTAATTATAATAAAATAAAAAAAATATGTATAGAAAATTTTATTAAAGTTGTAGAACTTTATAACTAAAATATAATCTAATTCTTGTCTGTCTAAAAAAGTTAATATAGTAATAACTTCTTAAAACCTAATAGAATCAACTTATTATTAAATAATTTTTTTAATTAACTAGGTGCTTGAGTTGATTAAAGGGAGCTATTAATAAGTGTTATGTGTATAGTATCATACTGGTAAAATATGAATGCAGATTTGAACAAACGTTCATGCAATTTATTCAAATTAAGGAATCTTGAATAAAATAGATTTTGTATTAAATTTATAATAATTGACTATTACTTTTTACTTTCAGTTATAGCATCATAAGTTCAGTAATTATGTATAAATGATGAGTTTCTAGTTTAAGTAATAATTGAAATAATATATTTGATATTTTTTTGTACACTTATTTTTATATGCATTGATTTAGTTTGTAAGATATATATCTTTTTTAGTTGATTTAACAGTTATAGTATAGTTTATTACATGTTCTAGTGTTATGTTTATTGATTGTTCCTCCTGTCAATAGTCATAATGATCGACTACATTTATCTACTAACCCCCTAAATAATTAATATTCTTAATACTCACCTTACATAATATAATATTGATGTTTTTTTATAATTATTATCTTTAATTTCATGTAAGTATCGAACCATTACTGTAACTGGTTACATAAGTCATTTGGTCAGTCTATGCAGTTATAAGTATTTGGCTATTTTTGATCAAACTTTGATAATTCATTGGGCCATATTCTTGAAGAGATGCTCTATCCTTAGCACAAGTTTTGTTATATAATATAATATAATGATTTATTATAATTATTGTTCAAAGTCTCAAAATTCTATTCTTACTTTACAACTATTATCATAATTCCTGGGACACCTGTTAAAATCAGCTAAATAATTTTTTAGTCAATTTAGTTAAATTTATGATTTCAGCATAATAAATTCTATAAATTGATATGTATACATGTGTAGATATTTACTAGGTAGCTAATATAAATATTATGCTGATACAAATATCTCTATGTAGTAAATATAGAAGCATGATGCTTTCAAAGCATATTCACTGGTGAATAATTGAAAAAAAGATATAGAAAGCTTATAATTTTGAAAAGTGCAAAAACTTAGATGTTAGCATGCATTTTATATGTTGAGTTCTCAAGCATTTTCAAAGATATTGATGTACCATGGTGTACTGACTAAAGATCTGAAGCCTAATATAAAAATATCTGAAAAAAACTTATAGAATACCCAGAGTAATTTGACTGTTACAGGGCCAAAATTTTGGAATTTTACTAGTCTTTTATAACTTTATATTATTATGATACCCAGGTATCTTGCAAAGTATTTTAGTCAGTGCATTACAGTATTAAAAAACTTCTGCAACACATTTTTGATCAATGTTAATAAAATTATCTCTTAACCAGTCAACAAATGCTTGACCATATTTAGTTTTTTTAATTTTGACACCTACTTGTATAATATGATTATTATGAAAGTTTATTTTATATCTGAAGCCTTTCTTATATTGTTTATCAGATTTATTGGTTAACAAAAACAGCATTTTTATAAGTTTTTACACAAACCAAACATACTAAACATGTGCAAATATCAACTGAAAATTTTATCATTGAATGTGTCGACATTTATAAAGATAAAATTATTCATATATTACATGTAATTTTTGTTATTTGAATAATGTTAGCCAAACTTTAGTAAAACTGACAGATAAATAAATTGTTCCATGATGTATGTCTAGTGATGGCAATGCTTCTGTAATGCTGGTGCAATAATTATGTATCAGTGTTCTATTTTATGTATATAGGTACATATGTACGATTTTATTCCCAAAATCATAAACTTCTAATTTTTGCAGGTGTCTTAGGAATTATGATAATAGCTGTAATTATTAAAATTGATCAAACATTGATATTTCAATTTAAGAAATTTTGCGCGAATACTCATAATGTTATGGACTTATTTATTTGATATTCAAGTTTTAATAATTTAACTATTTGAGCTATTTTGGTATTGATTATTTATAATCTCTCACAAAATGATAGTAACAATAGATTTAGTTAAATCTTGGGTAATCAAAAAGTGAAATAGATTCTAAAGCCAAGTAATATTGATTTATGAGAATAAAGTGGTTAGAACTATTCAGTTATCAAATTAAGCATCTGACTTTTTGTTTAATTTTTAGTTGCCAGATTCACAAGTCAATGATAAAGTTCAAATAAATTCCTTATTCTATGAAATTAGAACGATAATGTCATGCCTGAAGTTGGCATCTGCCTGAAGTTGGAATTTCAGATACTTAAGTTGGCACCTGCCCAAAACTGCTAGCTAGTATGTGCATGATGATTTGATTTCAGGGGCTAATTTTAGTTAGATGCAACTTCAGGCACCTAAAGTCATAACTTTAGTTGATGCTAACAACTACCTAGCAGCATCGACAGACTTCCACTAATCGACAATTTATTTTAAAGTTATAAAATAGGACATTAAGGTCAGGTTTATAATTATAACAATACTTATCTTATACTAAAATTATGCAAAGAATTTTTTTTATTAACACGCAGAAGATGGTTATATGGATGAAATGTTGGGTTACAGCATTTTTTTAGAAAATAGTAGTTTTTATTTTGATATCACATTACTCATAATAATATAAACTAATTGGTCAATCACTATCAATCATTGAAAATCTGTTGATGCCACTAGGGCAGTCAGGCATGACAGTAATATGTTCAATTTGTTAATTTATTTTATTGGATATATTATTTTATATGTCAATTATTGTTATCAACATATTTACTAATTCTTTTCTCTTTTTTTTTTAAAATAGTCTTATTGAAGTCATCATATATTCTAAGGATACTTGTAACAGAATTTTAAAAATTATATCAATATGATTTATGAAAGTTGAGCAAGACAAAGTATTATAGAGGTAATGTTAAGTTTGTTCTAATAGTATGAGGAAATTTTATTTTTATTAACAATTTTGTCTTTAAATAATAGTAGATTATATAATAAAAATAAGGCAATAGAGAAGAGAAATTATAAATATAACCAAAATCAGGATAGTTTTAATTATAGTTATTTTAACAATGGCATTAAATTATTGGTTATTTTTTGCTTTGTTGGGTTATCTCTACTTGTTATTAAATTTATTAGAGCATGTACATAGAAATGAGAGTATGAAGTGATTGTATTAATTTTTTTATCGATTTAAACATTATATAAAAATGTGGAATACATGAGATTAAGAAAATCGGTGTGAAAAATTGCGCAAACCATCATTATACAATGAAGCTAATCATTAATATTTGGTAACAACAGCATGGTCAGTCTTTATATAAGTCAGATCGAATGAAGTAATATTTAGTAAATCCCATGATGGGGCTTGACTAAGTGCAACATATGTGTAACTATAAGCAAACATTTGTTCATCAATTGAAATCAAAATATTAGGTATGGTTAATTCTTGTGTTTTATGCACAGTGAGTGCGAAGGCATTTTGGAGAGGAAATTGAGGTCAGCTTAATGGTATGCATTTAAAAAGAAATGTTTTGTTAATCTTTTAACAGTTGCTATAATCATCCTTAGTGATGTCAGGAATACAACATTGACAGTGTCTTCATTAATTAATTCAATGATTACTCTAATGGAACCATTATAAAGGCCATGTTCAAATAAGGCATTATCAAAATACATGACACAGGTGCCTTTTTGTAAAATTAAAGTCATAGGTAGATTTGTATGTTGGTGAAAACTATGATTATTTTCAACTGCATCACATTCTTGATTATCAATATGATTGTTGGCAATCAAGATGATTGGTTCAAGATCTTCTGGTCCTTGAGGTAAAGTTAGACATGCTAATTTATTTATGTCATCAGCTATGGAATGGAATCTGACTAAGTGTGTAATATCAACAGGAGTGCATGAAGATAGAGATCTTATCTTATTATTAATTGTTTGTAACATATTATTTGATATGAAACTATTTTGAATCTCATTTAATATATAATAAAATGTTATCTCTTCATTTTGTCTATGAGAGGTGGTTAGAAAGATGGAAAAAAATTTGGACCAAACAGGGGATCAAAACACTTGGGCACTGCTTACAGGAGATAGTTGTACAAGGTCACCAATTACTAAAACCTTGATTCCGCCGAATGGTAAAGTATTACTGTACAAACAGGCAAAGAGATTACTAATAAATGTCAACAAACTAGCAGATACTATAGATATTTTATCGATTATAATAACTTTAATTTCTTGAAGAAGCTGGCGATTCTCTTAATTGTTTAGAGCTAAACTTATATGATTATTAGAAGATAGTCATATTTTTAGTTGAGAATGGATCATTTTATCATTAATGTTTTGGGTCGCAATATACGGTAGAGCCATTAATAAGTTCTTTTTATGATGTGATCAGAGATGGTTTATAATTAAGGTTATAAGATATAATTTGCCAGTTCCCACTGAGCCAGTCATGAAAAAATATTGTTGACTACGTTCACTTACACATCTTCATGCCAAAGTTAATAGATCGAATACTGCATATTGGTCTGTTAGTATTTCTAATAACAAGTATCATGAATTTAAGAATGGAGAGCACATTAAAGTATTGAGCTGATTATGTATAATAGTTGCAATATCACACTGCATAGTATTTACTATTTTATCTATTTGTAGACAGTAATTATGAGAAAACCTAGTAATCCTCACTGATGTATTTTGACCAATGTTCTGTATAACTTGATCAAATTGCTCAGATAATATTAATTGAAAATGATCCCAATAGTTTGAATATGATCCCAACAATTCACTCTCACTTCTATAAAGTAAATAAAGCAGAAGTTGTTAATAAAAAAATGATTCACCATCTTCTACTGAAAGATGCTAAAATCATACTAAAATTGATTTTTTTCTCTTAATTACAAATTTACCCTGTTAATCCATCCAATAAGTAGTATTTGAATTCAGTTGATTGGATCTTATTTTGTAGTTTTGATAATAATGTGAATATGCAATATTATCAAATTGCAAGTCAATCAGTCTAAAAAAATACTTGTTAATAGCATCTGCCCAGTATGGATTAGAAGTTTCATTATTTAATAAATGAATTGGTTTTATACACTTTGATCATATATTAGGAGATGCAGTTGATAGATATTCAGTGACAATAGTGGAATGACAAATAGAGTATCCAATCAAAAGAATTATCAATTTCATTGTGCCGAGATGTCTGGCCAAGATATGAGATCGATAAGTGTTATGCTCAGTCAGTTTAACTAAATCAGAACTTTCCAGTTTGATAATGTACTTGGTCATATATCTAGCAAAAGATTTAGAGGTGATGTATTGAAAGTTACAGTGTCCCTGCCATGACAATAATATAGGCGTGTGATAGGGAACAACCCATCGATCAGCTTCTTTGGTTCAATGATAAGTATAATGTAAAAAAGTAGAATCAAAGTAAGTGCAATCAGAGAGTGGTGCTGGAACTTTTTTCTGCATTATTCTCCAGGAAGAGGTGGCCCCTCACATTTATTAGGACAAAGCCATGGATTTGATGATCACGAACTAGTTTATAAAGAATTGGTTTAGTTTAAGGGTCAGGAAAGTTAGCATGAATAACATTGTGTTCTATTAGATGTGAAATTGATGTATCAAGATAAGCTATACTGTGGATGTGTATATTGCCATTATTCTGAAACTCATCATGTTCAAAATGGTGTAACCATTTACCCCACTCAGCTAGGTTTTTATTTTTTCATAACATATTTCGAACAGAACTTAATCTCTGATAGTAATGAAAATAGGTATATAGAGGCCAATTGGTTGGTAATGTGCAAAGGTCATCAGTATGTGATAAAAGTTTTAATAAATGTGACCAAAGCCTTCAGCTATAGTTATTGTATAGAAAATCTGGACCAGGCCAAAACTTTGAACCATTGCATTTACAGAATATTGACATCAATGAAAATATATATCATCAGTTCAGATATAAGATGGAAGTGTAGTAGTTAACTTTTCACTAATAACTGGATGATTATTATAAATGCTTTGATTAATTAGATCTGCAATTGTTGGAAGTTGCTGGTGATCAATATTTTGTTGATATAAAATGCGTTGCCTCTTCTGATCATTTCATAGCTTTTCTAAATTAATATAAGACCAATATGGTCAGTACTAATGAAGATGGAATTGAGGATCTGAACACAATAACCAAAGCTTAATATATTTAGCATATGTATTGATATGGTTACGATGATTAGTCAATTCTTTAGAGATTTCTCCCCAATGACCATGCCCATCTGGAAAGAGATCAGAAAAAAAGATTGCTTCTAAATTAGGATCATTATATGGAATCAGTAACTCTATATTATCAGGATTTATAATGAAACCTGCTAATAATCTACTATAATGAAAATCTTCATTGTGAATCTTAGGATCAAAATCATATGATGGTACTATTACATCAGAATGATGTTGTAGAGGGAGAGTTAGGGGTGATATATTTTCATCATTATCAATTATCTGTGCTGTAGGAAAAACAAGTAGAGGGCACATAATAATAGTTGATAAAAACATTTGATCAAATTGTTTAAAGAATCGATTATTAATTTTCAACCAGTTAGCCACATGCAGCAAAGATGAATGAAACCAATTATCATTAGGTGCAGAATCTATGATAGAGTCTAACATTCCAGCATAAATTTGTAAGACATGAATATTTTTTGAGAGACCAAATGCACCAGTAAGATGGCAATAATGTATAAAATGATTCGCATTTTCTGCATGTCTGAGAGAGCAACTTAGATGAATAGGCAAAGCCAATGCTGATAAAATATTGAAATATTTGTTAGAGCATTTGGAATAGGAATAAGTATTGGAGCATCATGATGTTTAGCGATAGATATACATGAAGTACATACAGCAATATAATTTTCTTTATTAGGATGTTTAGTAAGTGATAAATGTGAGAAAGCTCAACAAAGATCATAAACTATGTCGATATCATGAGAAACGCATCTTGCTTAAGCAGGAAACATAAGAATCGAGCAATGTGAACAAGGTACACATGGAAACATATACAAAATTTCAGTTTGAAATTGATGATTAAGAGAAATCAAAGAATGAGAAGGTTGCCAGAGTGAAAAAGAGGTTAGATCAAATGTCGATTGATGTTGATTTTCAGATGAAAATGTAGATACTAGTGGATGGTTAGCATTAACATTTATCTAGGCTTAGTGACCCAAAAAAACATCATTACATAAATCATAATAGAGATTATCTTCATCTAAATCAATTATAGTCAATTGGGTTATTGAAAGAGACATCGTATGTGTTTGACAAAGATCAATATTAGTTTTTTTATATTGTACTCAGATTGATTAAGATTTATTGACAACAATGGAAGGAAAATTACTCATTTTTATAACCTTAAGAAAAGTTCAAATCTATTGCCTAAAGATAACAAACTAATGATTATAAAATACTATGGTTATTTTATGCAGAAACAATAAAAAATTTTGTAAATATTTATATTTTTTTAAAAAGGGGTATTTAAACTTTTAATAATAACATTCAATAGTATTACATATAATGTTGTATATATACAAATCTATTGATAATTTATTCAGTAAGATAATCAACATTTGATAATAATGATAATATTAAATAGGAGAGCTGGGTTGACTGTTAGGTGACTGCACTACTTAGTTGCACTAACACTAGGAAAAGTGCTAATTTATTGATAATATATTATATAAAAAAAGACATATGTTTATTACTACAATTGTTAATAAATCATAAAACATGAATTTGATAGAATTAGCAGGCGCATGTTAATTTAAATGTTTTGTAGTGATATATATCACCTGATTCCATAACGAGGTTGTGGAATTTAGCTATAATGGCAAACTTAAATCGCTTTATACTGAACATTACATTGATTGGAATTAATTTTAATTAATCACTTTAATTATCATGTTCTGAGTCTTCAGATCATGTGAACGAACTGCTCTATCACACGATATTTACATAAGGAACAATATACTTATTTCATATTGTTAAAATTCAATTTATTATGATAATTTAAAAGTTTAAGATGATAAAAGACAAATTTAATGATTATATTAATATGCATACATATATATTAATCGTATGAAGCATGATACATTATGTCATATAAACGGTTTAAAGTAACTGAAGTTAATCGTAGTAATGTGCTGATTATGTGATTGCATATGCCTGTAGTCTTAATTAGTGATAAATAAAGAGATAGACGAAGCGTATTAATAATGGTATTTAAACATAGATCGAATGTGATTTATTAAATAAGAACTAATATTTATATAGTTGGTTTTACATGTAATAGAATAACACAACAATCATATTTGCTTTAAGAGGCTTGACATTATTTTTAACAATATACAGGTACTATACTAAAGGATTCAGGAATTTACTTAATATTGATAATAGATTAATTATATGCAACCTCATATTTAAATATCTGATTACAATAAATATTTTTTTACAATAAAGTAAGGATACATATTAAGAAGCATATCATCATGCATAGTACGGTGATTATTTTTTGGTTTTTCTTGAAGTTCTCCTACCCTCTTTTTTTTTTGGTTTTCTTTAATATCTGTTCACACGAGCATTCTAAATCATCCTCTTCTGAAACATCTTCAGTGTAGACTCTCTTATCTTTAACATCATCTTCAACAATCATTTCAAGACAATTCAAGGCTAAACTTGACAATTTATTTTTGTCTTTTTGGATTTGAACCATCTTAGGATTAACATTAGTGGTTGTTATCGAAGTCAGAAAAGGTGTAGAGGAGTTATTGATAACAGAAGGTGAGCTAGTACTCTGATTAGAATGTCTCGATGTAATTATACGAGGCCTTTTCAGTGCTCTTGATGTAGTAGATTCAACATCTTCAGTGATCAGATCAATGTCTGAGTGATTATCTGAAGTAATCGAAGAAGTGCTTACTTGCATATTTTGGATCATATTGATATTGGTAGAAATAAAGTTGAAGTCTGTGAGTTCAATTATAGTAAAATCAGGAGTTATATGCCTAACAAAACCAGACACAATAAAAGTTCTGACTGTTTTGATACTATTATTAACATGTAAATAAGAGTATCATAAAGCATTGGTCTAATTAAATATTCTTAATTTCATATAGACATTTCTGAAATTTGTACTTGAATTGTATTGATAACATCTAGCATCGAAATAAGTAGACTCTCCGCAATCCTTTGGCTCACGGGAGACAAGCACAGAAAACATGCAGTGAGGAGTGCTAAGTGGTATTTTACTGGCTTCGAATTCTCAATCAGAATCACCAGTCACAATAACACAAGCATAAGAAACAGAAATATATTGCTCAAGGTTTTCAACTATAAATTTACCCACGAATATCACAATGTTTCCAAATGAAAATTCATCGTATGGTTAATTAAGGAGTAGAAATACTTCCAACAGAAGACCTTAAAGTCATTTTTAGACATTTGATACTTAGCAAAACCTTGGGTCAGAGAGTCAAAACCCTCTTTCGTGGCTATAATAATGATTACACTAGCATGGAAAGACATATTCAATTGAATTAATTGATTTAAGTTAAAATTTTGTAGTAAATGTTTTGTGATTATATATATATATATATATTTTTTTGGTACATAAGACAGTATAGTAGAAGTAGTAGGTAATATGCTGATACTTCGAATTGACATTGATTGTTATTTACAATAATAAAGTTGATACTGAAGCATTCGTGAGATAAAATTAAGAGTACATATGAATATTTTTTAATACTTATCATAAATCTAGAAAAAGAAGTTTCTCAAAATACTAACATCTCTAAAGCAAAATTTAAAAACAAACCAAAAAAAAAATTAAAAAAAGGAAACTCTTAAAATACTAACAATTCAAAAGCAAAATTTAAAATTAATCAAAAAAAAATTAAAATAACAAATTAATAATAAAAATTTCTATTATCTTCATGACAATAACGATAGAGATCAATTTTGGACAATAATGATAATGCTTGATTATGGCAAGAATAGTTAGTAAAGAAAACATTACAGTCTATTATTACTCTATTAAAAATAAGTAATGTGTACCATAAAATTTATTAATGAATGTAAAATCTAATTTAAAAAAATAAAGAACATGATCACTATGAAAAGTCTAATCCAAATTAAACAACAATAAATAACATATTAGGAAAAATTAAATTAATATATGCAGATTGATTTTAAGAATGAGTAATGCAAAGCTAAAAATGCAGATTCTATTGTATAAGATTTACAAGGCTTAGATCTGTGATATTCGAACAGCCAAAATCTCAAGTACCATAAATTAACGAAATAACACCAAAGGGAAAACACAAATTTTGGGCTAAATTTAGCATAGTTCATGCCAAAAGTCAAGATAATGCCTATACTTGATATTTTTGAGACTTTACAGAAACAAAAATTATGCAGTATTCATGTTCTGAGTTATTTCATTATTTAGGTCAATTCCAAATTGACCTAGGTCATTCATTAAATTTTCACCGATTCAGAAATGACCCAGATCAATTTTTAATGAAACACAATGAAATTTAAGGATCAGGGCATAATTTGAGGATAAGTATAAACAATTATCAGGTGACAAATAAGCACAAATTAATATATATATATAAAGAAACTAGTTGGTGATTAATCATCACAAATCATGGATCACTTGATCCCAAAACTTTTTAGAAATTTAGAACTCAGAATCATTACATATGTTAAATTAATTGATAAAAAAAAAAAAAAAATTAATAATAATAAATAAATAAAATTTTTCGAATGTTTAATTTAATCGATAAACACACCTGTTTTTTTATTAGTAATTTTTAAAACGGAAAACTATGACCTTTTGACATGTGAAACCTTTGATCAAATATTAAAAACTTTATTCATCAAAGGAAAAACAATTACTGTTTAATGGAACAAAATAAGATATAATCAATGTTTAACCATAATTGACTCATATAACACAAAATTTAATATCGGATAACATAATTTTAAAATTATTTATATTAGTGCAACTGAAGAACTTTAAAAAGTTAAATAACATGATAATGCAAGTTTATTCTGTTGAAAACTTTTTATGCATTAACATGCATTTTTTATTGTGCATTTTTTTTATTTATTCATATTTCACATTTTTTATTTATACAATTTTTTTTTCAAAATTTAGTCATAGAGAAATGGGCAACACAAAAGAAAGGTTCAAATTTATAATGAAGTAATTTAACTTTTTGCTTGCATATCATAATTCATGTAATCTACAAAAAATTATAAATACAACCTGAATACGAAAAAAAACTCAGGGGGCTTATGCTTAATAGAGCTAATCTTCAGCACATTTAGTGCATATAGCACATATAGCGCATATAAGATTATATAAAATTATTAGACAAAAATCTTCTCTATTTTAGTTATAAAGGAAATGTGGTGGATCACAAGTAGAAGCGCAACCAATAAATAAACATTCCACCACAGATCATAAACCGTTTCAGAAATAATCTACTGCATTATAGTGGAAAAAGATTATAGAGGGGTAAATAAGAATTAGATCTTAGTTTTAATTATGAAGTTCTATAGCTCTAATAAAACCTTCTATATAGCTTTCTTTTTATTTTATTATAGTTGATTTTTATTTTTTAAAGAAGTACTTTAAACTGTATAAATAATATAAAATTAACTTGAATTTATTAGCTAATCAAATAAACTTCTGTTTATAAAGTAGTTAGACATGCTTAGTCACTGAAATTTAAACCAATATACAAATTGCAAGTTCTATCAACTTCTTTTATAAAAAGTTATTTGCAAGAATAGATTGCAATAAAAAATATAGGTCTTTGTCTTAAAAATAAGCTTACAAGACATAGTAAATCATATAATCCAAATTTAATTTTCAAGGAAAAGATCTTATATAGTTTTCTATAACTGAAATAATGCCTGCTAGAAATGAGCAAATTATAATTTTTTAAAAATTTTGTACAGAATTCATTAAATCTAAGTATTGTGTAATTGAACCTTAATTTTTATTAGCTAATAGCTATGATTAACAAAATTTTGATATGCATTTGTTTAAGGTTTGGGACTGTGTAATAGTAAGATTAACCTAGAAACATATTTTACTTAAAGTAAAAATTACATTTTACAAATTTGCAATACATATAATTTTATAGAATATATAGTATCTAGATTAGGCAAATTGCAGTTCTCCAAAAATTCCATGTAGAATTTATTAACTTCATTTAATAGGCAGTTATAATTTCTTTATAAAAATTTGAGTAATTTTGTCTAATTTTTTGATTGTTGCTATTGGCTAATAAAATAGTAAACTTTTATATATTTTTTGTAAAGTTTAATAGAACTAATTATATTAAGCATGTTTTTGGTTAAAGGTTTTATCTAATATATCATCCAAAACTCTTTCTTGCAGATCACAAATCACTAAGTAAAAAATAATCAACAAAAATAAGTTATGTTCTAACTAGTATACTAACTAAATAAATATAAATTCTAGCTCTTTTCTGGCCCTTTGGGCCATATTAGATATATATAACAATCAGCACAATTATAATATAAGGCAAAATTAAAAGAAAAAAGAACAAAACTCTTGACACTAGCATAAACAAAGAAAATGAACACAGGCCAGTTGGCTCCACATCTCAGTTCTTCTTTAAGACTACACTGTAACTACAAATGAAGAAACAAACTGCAAATACTAGCAATACTTTACTTCAGAAAAATAAAGGCAACAACTAAAAGACCCTATATATTCTGACACATCTCCAAAAAAAAGATGCACACTCCTCTCTAGACTACAAAACAACAAAAAAAGTGGGCAATTCAGCTTACCCCTGACAAATCTCACTATGCCATCTCAAATGCAAACAACAACAACAACAAACTTACTCAAACCAGTTCTGACAACATCTTAACAGAAATTACAGACACTGACAACAGCTATATCATTATCTCTCGCAATAATCACACAAATATTATCATAAGTGACAACAGCAAAGCAGAGCACATGTCCATGCCAAACAGTCTAGACTCTACAGACACACAACAAAACAAACTTGAGACCAAAAAACAAACAAATCCTGATAACCTAAATATGGAAACTGAATTTGTCACTACAATAGCAAGAAATTCTGATAAACAAAAGCCCTCTACTTATAACAAAATCATACAAAGAAATATCATTACACAAAACAAGACACAAGACAACATGGAAATAGACCATACCTAAGAATGAGTAAACAGCATATGTAACAATCTGCAAACAAAAATCACACAGCCTTTCAACAATAACTATGGAACTACAATGAAATTATTGCTACTCTAAAAACAAAAAAAGGAATTTACAACTTCATAGAACACAAACTGCTTACCAAACCCACTAACTTCCCACTTCACCTAGCCATTGAAGCCAAATTCAAACATCAAGATCCAGCATTTTTCCTTACATTTACAAAAGATAAATGCTTGATATCTTAGCATCAGACTGTCTATGAAGACTTATTCAAAACAGCAATGAACAACTACAAGAAATCTTACAAAATTACAATAACAACCAGAGCAATTAGAGATATCATACACATGAAACTCAAACAAAAAATCATGATTGACTACCTAACTAATACTAACTTTTTAACAAATATGCCCAGAACCCTCTGTTTCTTAATCAAATATTATAAAAACTTTACTAAAGATGAAACTTCAATCAACTTTCAGGACATACAAAATGCAATACAGTCTGTCTTCTCTGCACAACTGGATCTACTTCCTGTGAACTCAAAAGAAATCCCTAGTGAAATTCTACAGATACTTCCTTTTAGCCTTTCTATAAAACAAAAATCCTAAACAAAAGCAATAGTAACTGCACTACACAAAATATATAACTTCAAGCAACTACTACAAGAATACTTTATTACACTTGATCCAACTTCAAAAAAT